AGAGCGTTTTCTTTTTGGCAAGTTATCCTTATCCTCTGAGCATTTTTCTGCATTATCTTCAGATCCATGCTTTACCTTTTGCAAAATGTATGTAATTTTAGATTGCTTGCTTCTAGTTAAAAGGTCTTTATAAATTTCCTTATATGGTGCTAAGCACTTATGAAGAATAAAGCAAGTATGGAATAAGGGAAAAACATTCGGCAACATCAGAAGCAGAAGCGTCGAGATCTGGCAACATTGAAAGAAGTTTCGAGAAGGACCATGTGTATCGACAGAAAAAAGAAAAGAAAATTTACATACTTAAGTACTAACAGTTTACGAAAATAATAATTTTCGTGAACTATTATTACTTAAGTATGTAAAAATTTACAGTCGAACCTCCTATAATTACGGTCCCTATAATTGCGATTTCTATAAAACTGCGAAAAAATTGTGACGGTATCCGTAAAAAATAATAAAAAAAAAACCGTGTCCTGTTTTATATTTGTGGCGTAGTAAACACTAGTATTGTGTTTTATTCTAAAGACACATGGCAAATTTTCCATCAAATTCCTTTATTAGTTGAGTCGATACGGTACATTGTTTTGTACTCGTTTCGGGCTTTGCCCCTCTTCAGTCAACTAAAATACAATACATATTTAACTTATTACAGTAGAGAGTTTACATAAAACAATGAGTACATAAACGATATATAGACGTACCTTTTGGTTACACTTTGTATAATTTAAAAAAAAAAAACATGTAAAATCTGCTTTAATCTTTGTAAAACTATTTTATATTACGAATTAAAATTCGTAATATAAAATAGTTTTACAAAGATTAAACAGTTAAAGATTAAAATAGTTTTACAAAGATTAAATAGTTTTACAAAGATTAATAATTTTACAATCTTTGTAAAATAGTTTTACAAAGATTAAAGCAGATTTTACATGTTTTTTTTTAAATTATACAAAGTGTAACCAAAAGGTACGTCTACCAAAAGGTATCGTTTATGTACTCATTGTTTTATGTAAACTCTCTACTGTAATAAGTTAAATATGTATTGTATTTTAGTTGACTGAAGAGGGGCAAAGCCCGAAACGAGTACAAAACAATGTACCGTATCGACTCAACTAATAAAGGAATTTGATGGAAAATTTGCCATGTGTCTTTAGAATAAAACACAATACTAGTGTTTACTACGCCACAAATATAAAACAGGACACGGGTTTTTTTTTATTATTTTTTACGGATACCGTCACAATTTTTTCGCAGTTTTATAGAAATCGCAATTATAGGGACCGTAATTATAGGAGGTTCGACTGTAAATTTTTACATACTTAAGTAATAATAGTTCACGAAAATTATTATTTTCGTAAACTGTTAGTACTTAAGTATGTAAATTTTCTTTTCTTTTTTCTGTCGATACACATGGTCCTTCTCGAAACTTCTTTCAATGTTGCCAGATCTCGACGCTTCTGCTTCTGTTGTTGCCAGATGTTTTCCCCTTATTCCATATATCATTTATTCTTCATTAGTGCTTAACACCATATAAGAAAATTTATTAAGATCTTTTAACTAGAAGCAAGCAATCTAAAATTACATACTTTTTTCAAAAGGTAAACGATGGATCTGAAGAAAATGCAGAAAAATTCTCAGAGGATAAAGATAAAAATTTTAATAAAGATATTTATCATAATTATGAAAATATAATAGCATGTTTTTTTAATTTTTGGAACCTAACCCGCCTTTTCGTATTAGTCCTTTCTTTCGCATAACACGGCAATTTTTTGGAACGTAACTATCATGTTATACGGGGGTTACCTTGTATTCAACATAGTTTTATTAAGTACAAATTTATATTAATACGATGCAGGAAGTTACTTATAATTCTCTAATATCACATCCCAGTTAAATGTATAACAGTTGAAACTTGAATGCAGTTCTTTAGCTACCCTTTAAATAATATTAATATAAAAGTTTGAACTAAGTAACACGTTACTTACTTTGAATGCTCATTTCATTCCTGTTAGAGTTTTCTTCCAGAGTGAATAATTCATTGTTGACAGGCTAAACAATATACAAACAATACATAACAATCACGAATAATCAGTTATGATATATAAAGCAGTAAAAAGTTGTTCAACTTTCCCGGCAACGTTTCAAACAGGTGAACAAAATCGTGCACCCTCCACACACTAACATCCATTCATACAGATAAAACCCACGATTTTTTGCATTTTTCGACGTTTGAAAGTGTTCCAAGTTTAAAAATCTTGCGGAGTCATTTTTTGACCGATCGACATTTTTTCTTTTTGTTATATAGCTATAAATTTAACCCAAAACACAGAAAAAGCAAACGTTGAAAACCTAAGCATGTGGCTGCATGTTATGTGTGCATAAGAAGATAAAGCATTGAAATCCGTTCAATTTTCACTCTCTGTTTTTTTGCAAATTTGCAGATTTTAAGATCTCCTATACCGAAAAATCATGGCAATAAATTCCGTAAATGTATAGGCCTATGTGTGGGCGTGTATTTCGGCGTCTATTTCATTTAATATTTCACAATTGAAGATAAAGAAACGAAATTTTACACCGTACGTTGTGTACAATGAGCATTAATGCAATTAAATTTTGGTAATAAATCGTCGAGGTTGAAAAAGATAAAAAGAGGTAACGTGTACAATCTCGAGTGGATCGAACTTAATGAAGATTTTATTTGCTGTTAGCATCTATAGTTGATTGTGAAATGTATTTCTACCATTAAAATTAAGCCATTCTTCATTTTATAATAATTAAAATCATAAAGAGTTTTTATGACATATGGCGTTACACAATTCTATTTATTTACTAGCCGTTACTCGCGGCTTTGCCCGCGCGGATTTTGCAAGCAAACCAACCCCATTTATATTCAGTATTTCAACAACCATAGAAAATTATGCTTCTATGGTTGTTGAAATACTGTATATAAATGGGGTTTTCTCATCTTTATTTAGTTCAACTAAATAAAGATGAGAAAACCCGCCAAGTGTCTTAATTTATAGCACTTTGTTGTGTTAGAAGCATAAACAAATTGCAAATCACGGTTTCATATCATCAAAAAAACCATAGAAATTGTTATATAACACTTACTGCTGAGAATAATGAGAATTTCTGAGAATCAAACAAATTATTTTCAATTTGATCAATTTTCTGGAACGTTTACAATCGTTCTATAATCGAACCAATATGCAATAACAAATTCGAATCTAATAAGGTTGGAACATTTTTAAAATCGAAATATATAAAAAATATTTATAACAATGTCTGAAATGTTATTAATTTAATACACCTAAGTACTCGATGAAGACTAAATCTTCTCTCTCTACCCCGTGGGAGAATTTCGAAAAATCTCTTCTTAGTGTGCATTCCCATGAGATACCCTACTTAAACGCTAATAAAAACAAAAAATCGCATCTAAAATAGTACAGTAAAAGCCGTTTTTTCGGTTAAGACTTAATGCGTTCCCTCTGCCCTCGCGAAGGAATTTCGAAAAATTCCTTCTTAGTGTACAGTACATTGCAATGGAATACCCTATCTGTGTACCAAATTTCACCTCTTTAGGTTCAGCGGTTTGCTCTGGGCAATGATAAATCAGTGAGTCAGTCAGTCAGAAGAAGCAATTTTATATATATAGATAATCAGTAATAACATATATGTTATTTTTAAATAAAATCTCTTAACAGCCAGGATATTTACGCAATTCTTTGTTAGATATTTTCGTATTATGTTAGTGATATTAAGCTGTTTTTAACCGTTTAGAAAGCTAAGTTAATATTGAAATTTCGCTATAAAATATGTCAAAATTTGTATTACTTACCATTACCTGTTCATTATCGTCTGGAAGACGAACAACTTCTTTACAATCTTCAGTCTTTACTTCAATCTTCACTTTTTTCAAATCAACTTTACACTCTGATTTTATACTGTGTTTTACGTCATAATTCTCTTTTACTTCTTCTTTCTTGATATCTGTAGTAAAATTTACAAAGTTTTTGTTAAAGGATTCTAAGAAAAACTTTAAATATAAAATAAAAGTGAGTATATTTTCAATAATTAACATATCAATATTAATTTACGTGTTTCACTTAATCATTTATTTGTGATTACAAGCCGAAAATTAGCGTGTGTCATTGCGTATTGGTGTGATGTGTGACAAAAATTATATTGAATAATAAATATAATTAGAAACTTCTTTTCGTTATTAAATAAACAGCTGTATTAAGTTTCCCGGAAATATTTAAAACTATGTGTGGCGCCATCTTAAATATTTTGTTATATATAACAGCCAAGAAAGTAAAACATATTTAAAGTGTTAAATAATCAAGGATTTTAAAATTTTTATTACGTTACCAAGGATTACGTTACCTATCTGCCTGTCATTCCTTAACACTTCATTTCATATATAATACATAAATGTATATGCAATGAAAACTTCTTTCAATGCAAGTAATGTATAAGTATGGACTAAGTGTACAAGGATTTATTTTCATGTGCATTCTGAATTAAGAAATATCCTGTCTTCATGGCATTCCAACATTCCTTAGAAGCACATATTGCTTAGTACATAAGTCAACAGATACCAATTACTTCGTGATTAATACAGTCTCCATCCAAATAGAAGTGATTCCAGGAGGCTATGCTTAAATCTTAAATAAATATTATGTGCACAAGTACTTAATAACTAAGTTAAAAAAAATAACTTGGATGGAGCATATAAGGGATACTTTTATGAATCGAGTTTGCTAACAATGGATAATTTACTTTCACTGTAGTACCGGCTCTCATAAACAAAAAAAAAAAAAAAAATGGGTAATGTTATATAACGAAAATACCAACAGGCTTTTTCGTTATTTATTTAAAAAAATCGAATTTAATCATATTATTGGGCTGTAATTGCAGAAAAAATTGCAGACCTATAAATTCTCACTGTCGTCTGTCTGTGTGTCAGTTTTTTTCTTAATCTCGAGAACAAACGAAGATAAAAGCAGAGGTAAAATAATGTGAAAAGATTAAAGGGACAAGACACCGATTAACTGTGTACGAACTTTTGGTGAAGATCGAAAGTTACGTTATTTAAACTAAAATCCTTACTCCTGAAAACAGTTAATAAATGACTGTCACAACCGCATTGTCAAACGAAAAGTATAATATACAGAGATAAACCACTATTAATTTCAAATGAAGAGCATATAATTTAAATTAAATACACTAAAAATATGATTATAAATTGCAGCTCGTCATTGTAACAATGCCATAATGTAATAAACAATTGCTCGTTTCATTGAAATCTAAAACATCTAAATTGGACTTTTCTCTGTTTAAGATTCTGATCAATTGAATTGACAATTTTAAATCTGTCAACTGAATTAATTATTATTGATAATATTANAGACTTATGAAAAATTTTTTTTTTATCCTGAGAAAATTTTCATAAATTATTCATTATTTGGCAAAAGTGCTTAATTAAAACTCTTGACATCTTTCTTCAAACAATACAGTTATTTTCCTATATAGTATAGACTTTGGGTTCATATTCTTAAGTCTCTTTAATACGCGTTATACTTAAAATTAACAATAAAAATAAAAAGTCCGTATTGTTCCATATTTTCTAGTTCATATATTATACTAATACAAACAAAATAAAATAATTATTTTAAAATATGTAAATTATTTCGAGGCATTTAACAAGAACAACTCCATTGTGAAAGATAACTTCACACGTGAACATTTAAAAAGAACATTTCTTAACGCATAAATTAGAATCTTTCTTCGTGTGCGTAATAATCCAATCTGTTTTCTAAATGCCTTCTTGTATATTTTGCATTGATGTTTATTTCCTGTGGAATGAAAAGTATTAATGATTTTGGAATTCGGCTATTGATGTAAATTTACATTAACAGCCGAATTCCAAACTCATCAATATCTTTTCAATTTACGGGAAATAAACATCAAAACAGTATTTTACAAATGTCACAACAGAAATGTATTTGATTATTAAAAATAGTCATATGCTTCTTTATAGTTTCCATAAACGTAAAAGTCTGTTTACATATATTACATTGTTAAGATAATTGAAGTGTATTTCAAAACAAAAAATTTTAAATGTAATTTCAGTTTAGTTTTCGTTTTAAATCTGCTTTTACCATTTCTGCAAAAATACGCTTAATTCTGATAAACGAATTGATGGCTTAATTAATAAACGACTTTTAAAATAATATTCATTGTTACATACGTAACGAAGATTGTCTTCTTTGTCATTGTCTTCGTTACATTTTTATACATGACTATCGGTAAAAAGTCTATTGCATTTTTCACAACGAAACGGTTTTTTGTCTTAATGAATTTTCTGGTGATTAATTAAGTGGTTTTACTTTTAAATTACTTATTACAAATATTACACTTTTCAATGTGAATTTTCGAATGTTCTTTTAGAAGCGATTCTGTTTTGAATGGCTTCTTACAAATATAGCATAAATACATATTTTAATATTTAGTAAGACAATAATGGCTAAAGCAGTTGTATCCATATAACCTTTATTACATATGTCACAAACATACTTTCTTTTATCGCTATGAATATTTTTATGCTGTTCCAATAAATGTGTTGTCTTGAAATATTTCTTACACATTTAACAATAATATTTACATTTATTCTTAAATATACGAATATGCATTTTTAAGCCATAACTGCGTTTAAAACTTTTGTTACATATGTTACAAGTATAGTTAAATTCATTATTATGAACTACTTTATGACGTTCCAAATAATCTTTTGTTTTAAAACGTTTGTTACATGCTTGACAAACATAGTTACGTTCATCAGTATGAATTACATAATGCTTTTTTAAGTATACTTTTTGTTTAAAACTCTTATTGCAAATATCGCATTTAAAAGGACGGTCTTCACTATGTGTTTGTTCATGTCGCAACAATATACACTTTTTGTTAAATTCTTTACCACATATCTTGCAGGCATATAATTTGTGCGTTCTCTTGTGGATTTCTAAACGGCCCTTACCATATGGAACGCGCATACCACAAATGTCGCAACACACATTTTTCCGCTGGATATTAGATTTTTTACAATGACTAAGTTTATGATGTCGCAAATAGTGTTTTGTCTTAAAGTATTTCTTACACATTTCACAAAAATATTTGTATTCATAGTTGTGTGTATTATTAATATGCTGATTTAAATCACCACGTCGTTTAAAACTTTTGTTACATACCTGACAAGTATGGTTAAATTTATTATTATGAACTATTTTATGATTTGTTAAACCGTCCTTTGTTTTAAAACGTTTGTTACACACTTCACAAGTATAGTTATGTTTATCAGTATGAGTTTCGTAGTGCCTTTTTAAACTGCCTTTATATTTAACACTCTTATTGCAAATATTACATTTGAAAGGACGGTCTTCACTATGCGTTGATTTATGACGTAACAAATTAGCTCTCTGCTTAAATTTTCTTCCACATATTATGCAGGCATGAACTTTACCATTTCTTGGAGATGAATTTACTCGATTTCCAGATGGCTGCAAACAAAAATTCTTATAAAAAATTTTGTCTTCATTTCCACTTTTGTGTTCTTTCGTGTGTCTTCGCAAATGAAATTGCCACAAAAATTTCTTATTGCAGATTGTGCAGTGAAATGGTTTTTTTCTAATATGACAGAAAAGATGTGTTTGTAATATTCTCTTATTTGTAAAGGTCTCTTTACATAAATCACACGTAAAGTGTTCTTTAGAATTAGATGCAAACATAACCTTAAAGTATTTTCTTTTAATCTTTTCGTGAATTTTATTGAATTTTCTACTAGAAAGAACGTATTTGCTTGTTTTGATATTATATATGAAAAGTTTGTGTTTTTCTGAATATTGCTGAATATCGTGTTCCTCAATTTGCTGTTCTTCCTTAACTGAAAGTTTAAAAAATAGCATAAATAAAGTACCATTATATTTGGATAAACATATCATTGCTTTCATATTAAAATATTACTGCTGTAGTAATATAACTGGTGAAGTATACCTGTGTTTTTCACTTTAAACAAGGCATTATTTGTTGTTTGCACTAAAAATAGAACATTTTACAATCATGATGTGATTGATTCAGCTTAGAAGAAATTGTGTGCTTTTAGAGAGGAGAGGAAATCATTACTGTAAAAAAAGTTCCACAGCAATAGTCTATGAATTTTACGTAGAAAAAAAAATAAATGGATTTATAAGATTTTTTACATCAAAATTCGATAATTTGAGCGTATGTCTAGTAGATCTGTACAACGTTTTCCAAGAATATTAACGACGTATTAGGTAACACGATGCTAATATTTACTTATTTATGTCATTAAATAAGTTATATAGTTGTCGTTTACTTTGTTTTAATACATTTTCTTTATTATTTTAGTGAATCCATAAACAACGCAAAATAACATGAATCGTTAAATCACAAGTCGTGAGTTGTGATTTAATGATTCTGATTACAGGTAACCCCCGTATAACACGACACTTCTATAGCACGGATTCACTCTAACACGGTTCGAAAATCGGTACCACCCCCGTATAACACGGTACTGTTATAGCACGGATTCACTCTGACACGGTTCGAGAATTGGGTAAACCCTCGTACAACAGGAAATGTAATACAGTCGACCCCCCTATAAGATCATAGATACGTTCCATTCTTTAGGAATCTGATTTCTTACGAGTTTTTCCAATCACAGCCTGACACGTGTAAAGTTTACGGACTACGGCTGATTGAAAGGTTTTCTTCCATAAAATTAATCGATTCTAGACTAATCCGACTCAACATTTCCAAAATACGTATAT